CTTCTTTCTTCAGTTTTACTTTCTCCTTTTTTTAGTGGAATATCTGGTTCATTTATTTTCCTTCAACTGAATATATGGATTTAAGGTTATAAATTTACCCCTACGCATCTCTTTTCTTGTATTTCTCAAGTTGTGATACAATGTTTTGTTGCGATTAAGCTCTAATTATTTCATAATTTCCACATTTTTAATTCTTAAAAAATTGTCATTTTTTTCCTTCAATGTTGTCTCTGTACCATTCTCTGTATCCTCTCCAATAAGACATTCGTTTAGAGCTTTTCAATCTAGCCTCTAATGCACCTTAGCTTTTCTTCCATATTTTTCATCTCGATCTCCCTGTGCTGGGTCCTGGGTTACCAGTTATAACTCAAAAAAGACAGTTTTATCAGTAAGTTTAACAACTTCTTTCTTCAGCTGTGTCTCGTCTATTATCCCCATTTATTGAGTTAAAACTTACTATATTTTTCATTTTCAAGATTTCAATTGGTTATATATCTACATATTTATTGTTTCTTGATTGTTCTTGATTGTTTTTATATATAAAGAGACTATATATTCAGCAACTACAATTTAGGTAAAATGTTCCTTGAAAAGTTCTCCATTATAAAACTCTTTATTTTATTTTACTCTTTAAATACATATTTTATTGATTATGCTATTAAAATTGTCTCATTTTTTTCTCCCCTTTATTCTCCTCCCTCCTGCACTGCCCCTCCCCCAACCTCCTCCCCTCTTAGTTCATGTCCATGTGGGTAGTACAGGTAAGTTCCTTGGCTTCTCCATTTCCTATACTATTCTTAACCTCCCCCTGCCTATTTTGTACCTACTATTTACGCTGCTTGTTCCCTGTACATCCCCCCCCCACCGCATTGTTCCCCCTCCCCTTTCCCCTCATCTCCATTTCTATTATTCTGTTCCTGTTCTAATTGTTCACTTAGTTTCTTTGTTGTTGCTGGTTTTTTTAGGTTCAGTTGTTGGTAGTTTTGAGTTTGTTGTCATTTTACTGTTCATAGTTTTTGATCTTTTTCTTAGATAAGTCCCTTTAACATTTCATATAATAAGGGCTTGGTGATAATGAACTCCTTTAACTTGATCTTATCTGGGAAGCACTTTAGCTTTGCTGGATAGAGTAATCTTGGATGTAGATCCTTGTCTTTTATGACTTTGAATACTTCTTGCCAGCCCCTTCCTGCCTGCAAGGTTTCCTTTGAGAAATCAGCTGATAGTCTTATGGGAACTCCTTTGTAGGTAACTGTCTCCTTTTCTCTTGCTGCTTTTAAGATTCTCTCCTTATCTTTAATCTTTGGGAAATATAATTATGATATGCCTTGGCATGTGCTTCCTTGGGTCCAACCTCTTTGGGACTCTCTGAGCTTCCTGGATTTTCTGGAAGTCAACATCCTTGGCCAGATTGGGGAAGTTCTTCTTCACTATTTGTTCAAGTAAGTTTTCAATTTCTTGCTCTTTCTCTTCTCCTTCTGGCACCCTTTTGATTCAGATGTTGGAATGTTTAAAGTTGTCCATGAGGTTCCTAAGCCTCCCCTCATTTTTTTGAATTCTTGTTTCTTCATTCTGTTCTGGTTGAATGTTTATTCCTTCCTTCTGCTCCAAATCACTGATTTGAGTCCCAGTTTCCTTCCCTTTACTGTTCGTTCCCTGTGTATTTTTCTTTATTTCATTTTGCAGAGTCTTCACTTTTTCCTCCATTTTGCATCCATACTCAACCAACTCAGTGAGCATCCAGATGACCAGTGTTTTAAACTGTATCTGACAGGCTGGCTATCTGTTCATTGCTTAGTTCTATTTTCGGAGCTTTAATCTGTTCTTTCATTTGGGCCATATTTTTTTGTCTCGGCACGCCTGTTATGTTGGAAAGGGCAACCCATGTTGCTGTGTCGTGACGCAGTATGTGGGGGGGTTCCAAGAGAGAACAATGCCACTTGCTTGGATCTCAACTGGCTTTCAGTCACTTCCCCTGCTACCCACAAGAAAACTGGGCCTTTCTGATGCTGATTCCTGGGTGGGTGAGTCTGCATACATTCTAAGACTCCGTGGGTCTCTCCAATGGACTCTCCTGTGAGGCTGAGAGTTTCTCCTGCCACCACAGCCCTCACAAGTTTTTACCTCCAGAGGTTTTGAGGGTCTTTTCCCCTGCACTGGAATCCTGGGTTGTGTGGTCTGTCTCACTCCTGAGCTGTTCCTCACAGTTTATCCACATGCAAATGTGAGACTGTCCCATCTACCAGCTACCACCTTGCTGCACATCCTTTCCACCCTGGCTGTCTGTCTCCACCCTTCCTACCAGTCTGGATGAATGTTTCTTCTTTAGGTCCTTGGTTGTTGGACTTTCATACAGTTCAATTTTCTGGCAGTTCTGGTTTGTTTTGTTTTGTTTTGTTTTTTTTCTTTGCTCTTGTCCTTCTTTTGCTTGTGTAAGGAGGCAAAGTATATCTACCTATACCTCCATCTTTACCGGAAGACCTAAAACTCTTATTTAATGCAAAAAAACAAAACAATCTTCCTTAAGAGTTCTCCTGACTGCTATTCTATCTACCAAATGTTATTCTACTGTGCCTACCTGCACCAAGAAGACATGGAAAGAAGTTCTATTATTCCCATTTTAGAATTAGAGAAACTTTAGCACAGTTCTTTAAAATACTTTTTCCCCAACATCTTTTTTGGAAAATATCAAAGCCACAGAAGAGTTAAAAATACAATGTATACCTATGAGTATATGCCTTTCACCTAGGTTCAAAATTAACATTCGCAATACCTGCTTTATTTTTCTTTTTCTCTCTCTTTATATATGCATACACAACCATACCCAAATACCCATACTTTTTTTCTGAGCCCATTCAACCCATTATGATACTTCAATTCTAAATATTTCAGTATATACCTTTAAGGAATAATGGCATTCTCAATATAACCATCATACCATTATCAAACCAAAGAAACCATGAGATTGAATAGTCTCTGACACGCATGTGCGTAAGCAGACTCAAAACAAGCACTTAAGTCATCTGACTAAATGTTCTTTATCTTGGTTTATTTATTGGACCTGAATTGATTTAGAAGTGACACTCTGTCTAAGGGCATTTCCTTCCTCAATGGCCTTGAAAACAGATTTTATTTACTTCTTCATTGACAGGTATATTTAAACCCAAGCATTCCTGAAAATTAAGCAATAACCTTTTAAGATAGTCAAATCTCAAAAATCCACTACACCCAATTTGCAGTTTGTCTAACACTACACAAAGCCTTAAAGTTTAGCCAATTAACTCTCTCAAAACTATACACTCCCTTGTAATGTTCCATATAAGTTTATACTGTACTAAACAATTATAATATCACTGTACCAGTTTTAAAAGAAAAAAAGTTCTTAAAATGCACAGTACAAACAGAATTAAGTAAACCTCTTTTTAAAGGAAAAAAGTTTTAAGTATATTTATGAATTAGATAAAAACAAATTTTTCAGTGGCTACGATTTAATCTCAGTGACTGACATTAGGAACTAAATAAGATAAAAAGAACAATAAAATCCTATCCTTGCTCTCAAAGACCATACAAGTCAGCTTAACAATTCTATTCCAAAAGAAATGATAATACAGCCTGGAGCTCATATTTAAAAGCTAAACTGTGTCATACAAATAAGGATTATATCTATAATTACAGAAATGTTTAAGATCAATCTACAAGTAAAGGAGAGCTAACAAAGAGTGTTTATTTTGTGCCAGTAGAGGCACTGTCCTAAGTGCATTCCATGAATTAATTCAGTCCTCACAGCAATCACAGAGAGGCGCTAGCCTAAAAGGATTTATGTAAGGGGTACGACTTGATCTCAACCTTAAAGTACAGAAAAGAGAACAGAAAGAAAATCATTTCAAGAAAATGGAAAAGCACAAACCAATAAATATATATGACAAGTGTCCACGTAAGACCAAACAAAAGTTCCAAATTGAACAAATTCAGGCTATACAGGATGTGACTGGATTATGAGAGAAAAATACCTAGCAACTGGATGAAAATTTTATGAAATAGCTAGAGCAGGGGACCACTACCAGCTCTTTATGTGCTCAAAGTGCCATTTGCAAATGGTAACCTGGTAACAATGCAGAATGAATTAAAGAGAAATGAGAAGCAAGGAACTCTGTCCATTTCAAACAGTAACATGCCAGAGAGCACACAATGAACCCACTGTGCCATCCTTCACATCAATAAGCCCATCCACTATGAACAAGAAAGTGGTAAAAATAATTGCAACATGCCCTGAATTATTTTACAAATATAACTTCAGTGAAGTTAAAAGGTACAGTGAAAACTATGTCATTAAGAAGTGATAGTCAAGTCATATAAAACTATTTCTGCTGTTCAGTACTAAGCCAGAAGAATTTGGCCAAATTTGGCATAAACATAAATTTTACAGTGTTAAGTGTTTACTTCAATAAAAGCAATACCACAAATAAATGAATTAACAACAAAAAACCCAAATAAATGAATTAACAAAATAATTCAACAAAGAGCTTCCTTAAATTGCTTTAAAACTATTTATAGTATTTCTCATAAAGTAATAAATATAATTTTTATAAACAACCTTTATGTAAATGATATACTTTGAAATAATGTCATATTTATTCATAAGCTATTTAAGAATTAGGTATTTATCATCTATATAAGAAACTGCATTATCCACATCAAACTCAGAAAAGGCCATCACAAACAACTGCCTTTCTTTGTAACTAAATGAACTTCTAAAGAGAAGAAATGTGAGAAAAAATAATCTCAAGTGTGCAAAAACTAGATTACTTACCAGTAACTTGAGTTATCCTATTGGGTCTTTTCTCTCACAGATCCACCTCTTGCCCTTCTGTCCAGCATGAGATTCTTCATGATGGGCATCCACTGGAACTGAGGGGGCATGCAGTACAGATGTATATGTAAGAAAGTTGAGGGGAGGGGATTTGGGAGATGCTAAGACATGCTTCAGTGCACTTGCTTACCTTCCTGAAATTGGAAATTTCAACGGTTCCTTGGTCCTCGAGGCATTCACAATAACTTCAAAGAATGTGGATCTGTGGAGATTACCCAATAGGAGAACTCCAGTTACTGGTAAGTGATCCAGCTTTTTCTTCTCTATCAGAATAAGAAGATTATTTAATTTTATTTGAGATGATTAATACATACAGAATTACAGAGAAAAGAGTTTTAAGTTCACCAGATAACTACATATGCCTGCACCAAAGTAAATACAGAAACTATCTACTTACTACAATGTAAACAAAAACTTCTGGCATTATCAAAAACACAAGCAAAAGAAAATGATTTGAATGGTTTCATTTTCAAATTCCCACTGTAATGGCAGCTGTATTTTAATATATAAATGTAACAGCTATCAATCTATGCCATTTCACTGAAACACCACCACCATTTTTAATATTAGTATAAGGAGGCCCCTGGCTGGTGTGACTCAGTGGATTGAGTGCTGGTCTGCAAACCGAAGGGTGGCCGGTTCGATTCCCAGAGTCACAGCACATGCTTTGGTTGCGGATCAGGTCCCCAGTAGGGAGCGTATAAGAGGGAACCACACATTGATGTTTCTCTACCTCTTTTTCTTCCTCCCTCCCCTTCTCTCTAAAAGTAAATAAATAAAATCTATTTTTAAAAAAATACATATATATAAGTAAAAGGATAATTAGTCGATCAGAATCTGTCCTTTCCTAACTAGCCACTGTGATTAACATTCACTGACTTTTGGTGGAGGCCACTACAATGGATTAACAATATATGACTTCAAATAGAAAGCATCAATACAATTCCCATTCATCATTCAATAGGTCTTTAAAAGAACAATTTGCCATCTATAGCAAATCAATCAAACACACATATAAATGTATGCCAGGTCGTAGATAAATAACAGGGCTTATTTTACATTAAATACTGTACAAAGTAGTAGAGCAGTATTTTTTATTAACTGTTATACTTTTTAATTGATTGCCTAAAAATGGACCTGTCATTTTAAAAAAACCCAACTGTTTCTAACAATAACAAAAGAAAGGTCTCCTCAACAGAACTTTAAGTTATCTGCTGTCTCCCAATAAGACCTCCTATTACTTTTAATTCAATACATATTAATCAGGCACATGTTCATTTTAATGTGCTACAATAGTGATGACTTCAAACACTAATTCCTGTTGAAGATACAGAGAGATATATTCCAGTAATACTCCTCCCTTTTATTATTATGTTACTAAATAACCATCCCCTACCTTCAAAAGACTATGATTTCATGGTTCTTCAGCCTAGGCAAACAGAGATAACGTACACCTTTTCCTTTCTTTTAATTGTAAATAGGATTAAATGGTTCACAAAATTCAACAAAAACAAAATGAAAATGTAATTTTAATAAGTCTTAAGTTTCAATGTTGTAATGAGGTAATATTTGTATTTTGTAAAGGCTAACAGCACACATATCAAGATTTTTGCTAAATTTTTACTTAATTTTAAGATACAAATTGTCTTCGGTAAATTATATCCATTTTTCTATAAATCTGATTTTTAAAAAGTAACAGTAATTAATGCATTTATTTTAATTTATTGATTTTAGAGGGAGAGAGAGGAAGAAGAAGAGAGGGGGAGAGAGAAAAAAAAATCTTTTTGTTGTTCCACTTATTTATGCATTCATTAGTTGATTCCTGTATCCTGATCAGGGGATCAAACCCACCACCTTGGTGTTTCCTAATAATACTCTAATGAACTGAGCTACCCCGCCAGGGCTAATGCATTCATTTTTAAATGACTTATTCATTCAAACAAGGGCACTAGACAGACCTCCATTTCTAACTGCAATACAAGGATAAATACCAAAAGGGTCATCTTGTTAGTTACCTTTTCTAGTTAACTAAATTCCTAGTTAACTTTTATTCCCTTAAGAGTAAGCAAGTATACAATGCAAAGGTCCTACCATGTTCGGGTTGATAAAACAGGCACAGAAACATTAATTCAAATAGTTATCCTTATGGTATAAGCTAGTATAAGAGAGGTCATTAAGAACTAATAATTTCCAAATTTTATTTATAGCAAATGCAGTCTCCATGAAATTCAGGCCTTATGAATTTAAAACAGAATCAAGTGCATTTTTTTAAAAGTAAGTGAATTAAAAGATCTTGAAAATATTTTAAGATAACCAAAAGGGTCACTTACAGACCAGCACTGAAAGCTCTGTGTTTGTTGTTACCATGCCATAAGCTCAACTAAGATAACAGACTTGATCAGAATAGCTTAGAAAAGAAACTCCAAAAATTAGGATGATCTATTCAAAAGTATCCTGTGTAAACTTTCATAATCATAACACTCTCCACAATAACGTAAATCATCTTCCTTAGTAATCAAGAACTAAATCAAACATTTCACTAATGAAAATCTACTCCATCAAATCAATCTGAATTTATGAAAAAACTGCTCAGTAAACAATGTGGTAGCTAACATTCACTTTCAGTACTACCCACTGGTTTGGACATTCTATTTTGGCAGGAAGCACCTTAAATTACAACTGGTTTTCATGATTCCAAGTACATTATTTTATAATCTTTATTAAGATCTAAATATTTAATGTAGCACTGGCTGAGGTGGCTCATTTGGTTGGAGCTCCATCTGTTGTCCAAAACCCAAAGGCTGTGGGTTTGATTTCCTCATCAGGGCACATACCTAGGTTGCAGGCCCAGGTACATAAGGTTTCTCTGGTCTGGGCCTGTATGGAAGGCAACCAATCAATGTTTCTCTCTCACATCAATGTTTCTCTCTCTTGCTCAAATAAATACATATTTGAGGCCAGGGCACAAATGATTTTAGTTATAACCTGGTTAGGGGGATGTAGTCTAAGGACTAAAAGAACTATAAAGCCCAAACTTCACTCAGAGACTAATCATTTGTATTCATTTTGGTACTATTATTTTGAAACTATATATTTTATGTTGCAAGGTAAAGAAAATAAGTAATTGATGTTATTGATTAGAAATCACAACATGCAGCATAAAAGAGCTATAAGAACACATTAATATTAAACTGAATTGCAAGTACCACTAGACACTCATTTAAAATACATATATATAGTTTTGCCCTGGCTGGTGTAGCTCACTGGACTGAGTGCCAGCCTGTTAACCAAAGGGTCACCAGTTCGATTCCCAGTCTAGGGCACATGCCTGGGCTGCAGGTCAGGTCCCCAGTATGGGGTGTGAGAGAGGCAAATACACATTGATGTTTCTCCTTCTCCCTCCCTTCCCCTCTCTAAAGATAAATAAAATTTTAAAATATATAGAGTTTAGAAATAGTTAAAACATTCTAAACAGTAGTTACTAAGTAAATCACTATCATTATCATACCAATATATAAATTATATTTGCTAATGCTACAAAATCAGCTATTACATTAGATTTACCTTATAAAAGGAACCTACTTAAGACTCTAAAAGTTGTCAGAAATATTTACACAAATAATTTTCCATGTTCCAATACCTGATTTTTACAAGCTAGAATTTTAGGGCTGCTGACAAATTTTATGTTGAAAATATGAGATACACAGTATATTTTCATGTTCTTGACTGACATTTGATGGTAAAGATATTAATACCCAAGGAGGGATGCTCACAGGTAACATAGGACCCCTGCTCTGGACAGAACAGCTCCTTTTATCTACTGTGTATTTTGGGATTCCCCCACATGCTTTCCTTGCACGTAAGAATTCTGCAATAATGATAAAAAGTTTTAAACTTTAAAGGATAGTGTGATGGTCATAATGATCCCACAACCTACAATGCATGCCCTTCTGTAATCTCCTCTCCTTGAATACAGGCTGGATTTTATGACTCATTTATAAGGAAAACAAGTAGTGGGATGTCATAAGAATATTACAGCTTTTGTTTTGGTGGATCCCACTTTGGGTAAGAAAGCTGCCATGTTGTCAGCAGCTCCCTGGAAAGACCCACATGACCAAGAAATTGATGTCTGGTCAACAGCCACACTTGGAAACAAGTGTTCTAAGGCCTGCAGAAAACCACAGGAGTTAGCCTGGATCCTCCCCCAGTTAAACCAGAGAGACCCTGAACCAGAACCACCTGCTAAGCTGCTTCTGAATTCTTGAATCTAAAAAATAAAAAATAAATTTAAAAGATAATAAATGTCTATTGTTTTCTGCCACCAAGTTTTGAGGTAATTTGTTACACAGCAGCAATATATAACTAACACAAAAGGCATACAAAGTAATTAGTATTAAGCTAAAAGTGGCAAAGCAAATGTCAATTAGCTGCCTAACAAGGAACTCAGAAAAATAATGCTGATGACAGTTGATAGGTGGGGGCCCAATTCTGAATTTTGCTCTTGGTTTTTAGGCCCCAAAATTCAACCAAATATTAAAGCAGGTAAGACTCAAAGGCTAAATTTTACCAACCAACCCCACCAAACTGATTAAAAAATCAGATGCCACCTTCCAGGGGATTTCCTTCCCATTATCAATGTATGCAGACAGGGCCAAAGCATTACAAAGAACTGCACAATGCACAGGGTGCCGCAGCCCTGGAAACTGGTTGCTATGCCTACTGACCACTTTTGAAAAAATAAAATGATGTTAAGATGTAGACAATAAAGATATAAAGAAACCTATATTTATACAACTCCAGAATAAAGTATCACTCTAGTGAACGCCATAGTATCTCTCACTTCCTACTATCTCTTACACTATGCTAAATATTGACAAATTGTCCAATGTGGTAATTCTGTGTGATTTTTGTTTTATATCATTTTATCTTCTCATCACTTTTCCAAAGATTCCTTAATCAATCTAATTGGTACTTAATATTTTGATCTTCCTAATTTGACAGATACCCTGGTCCCTTAATTAAACATATTTTAAACCATATCTTAAAATAGGATACTTCTTTAGACAGCTGATAGCATCTACTCAACATTTTCCTGAACCTAATCCAAAATGTATATACAGCCCTTTATACACTAACTATAGTTAGGATCCAAGTTAATAAACAAAAATGTCAACAATTATGTCACCATAATGATGAAGTCTA